TCTGACAGTGGTCAAGGCCAGGTGCTTCAGAGGGAATGAACAGAACAGGGAATCGTCAAGTGATCCATCCCCTGTTGCCCATTCCCAGCTTCTGGCAAATAGGCTAGGGACACTCCGAGCATGGTGTTGCATCCCTCCCCATCCTGGCTAATAGTCACAGTTTTCCAGGAATTTATCTAGTTCTTTTTTAAATCCTGTCATAGTTTTGGTCTTCATAGCATCCCCTGGCAAAGAGTTCCACGGGTTGACTTATGTTGTGCGAAGAAGTACTTCCTTTTGTTTTTTTAAAACCTGCTGCCTATTAATTTCATTGGATGACTGCTAGTTCTTGTGTTATGTGAAGGATTAAATAACATTTCCTTATTCACTTTCTTCACACCAGTCAAGATTTTATAGACCTCTATCATATCCCCCCTTAGTCATCTCTTTTCTAAACTGAAAATTCCCAATCATTTAGATCTCTCCTCCTGTTTCATACCCCTAATCATTTTAGTTGCCCATCTCTGTACCTTTTCCAATTCCAATATGTCTTTTTTGGGATGGGGTGACCAGATCTGCACATAGTATTCAAGGTGTGCACGTACCATGGATTTACATAGAGGCAATATGATATTTTCTGTCTTATTATCTATCCCTTTCTTAATGATTCCCAACATTCTGTTTGCTTTTTTGACTGCTGCTACACATTGGGTGGATGTTTTCAGAGAACTATCCACAAGGACTCCAAGATCTCTTTCTTGAGTGTTAACAGCTAATTCAGATTCCATCATTTTGTATGTATAATTGAGATTGTTTTCCAATGTGCGTTACTTTGCATTTATCAACATTGAATTTCATCTGCCATTTTGTTGCCCAGTCACCCAGTTTTGTGAGATCCCTTTGTAACTCTTCGCAGTCTGCCTGGGACTTAACTATCTTGAATAGTTTTGTATCATCTGCAAATTTTGCCACCTAACTGTTTGTTTACCCATTTTCCCAGATCATTTCTGAATATGTTGAACAGTAATGGTCCCAGTACTGACCCCTCAGGGATACCACTATTTGTCTCCCTCCATTCTGAAAACTAATAATTTATTCCTTCCCTTTGTTTCCCATCTTTTAACCAGTTACTGAGCCATGAGAGGACTTTCCTCTTATCCCATGAGGGCTTACTTTTCAAAAGTCAATTTAAATTAAATACATTTTTTTAAAAAATTATATATTTTTTAGAAATCTAGACCTGTATGTGTTTTGGTGTAACTTGCATTATCCTTATGTTAAATTTGCATTATCCTGACAAAACATTTACTTTATTCATATCTCTTTTATATGTTGCAGGTCAAAGTGAAAATGAAAAGACAAAAAACAGTACAATAATTTTTCCACTCAAAGGCCTCAAAAACTAACCAAGGTGAAGAACACATCAAGAACCAAGAATATATCAACATGTCATCTGAAGGTTCAAGTGGTATATCTATATCCGACCAGCCCGAAGCACAAATACAGCTACCTACTGAAGAAAGTGTCTCCAAAACCTAAAGGCAGTTCCTGATGTTTGTCGGTCAGACATCGGGGATGGTTTGATGGGATGGGGATGGTTTGATGGGATAATGTAATTTTAGTCAATAAGTCAATAACGTGCCATCGCTGGTAATTAGTGTCAATGTGGGTCTGGCTGGAGAATCTTGCCCGCATGCTCGGGGTTCTGCTGATCGCCATATTTGGGGTCGGGAAGGAATTTTCCTCCAGGGTAGATTGGCAGAGGCCCTGGAGGTTTTTCGCCTTCCTCCGCAGCATGGGACAGGGGTCGCTTGCTGGAGGATTCTCTGCGACTTAAAGTCTTTAAATCATGATTTGGGGACTTCAACAGCTGAGTCATGGGAGAGAATTATTCGAGGAGTGGGTGGGTCAGATTTTGTGGCCTGCATCATGCGGGAGGTCAGACTAGATGATCATAATGGTCCCTTCTGACCTTAAAGTCTATGAGTCTAAAGTGTTCCCATTTAATGAAGTTACAAAAGATGGCTACTGGTGCACCTCTTGCAAAAAAGCTTACGAAGAAGGAAAGCTTCCTAATGCTATAACTGGTAAAAGTGGAGGAGCTTGGTTCGTCAAACTGATCAGCAAAGCCAATGTTGACAAACTACATGAAAAGGCTGCAAAACACCAGGCCTCTGGAGTGTATCAACATGCAGAAAGCCTTATAAAGCCAATTTTAGAAGTACTTAATGAGGCTGTTAAGAATGCTGGAGACACACAGTTCATGCGAACAAACATGGCTGTGGCATCCTACATTCTATATAAGCAAGAGATACCACACACTACAAACTGGAGGCCAGTGTTAAGTGCATTGTCACTTGTTCATCCTGAAGTTGAACACTGGTTCCGAACAAGACCAGCAAATGCTCACTATCTTTCTGCAAGAAACTCAACTGACTGGCTAGAAGCATGCGGTGCAACAGTGAAAGACTCAACAGTTGAAAAAGTGAAGAACTCTATCACCACATTCAAAAAATTTGCACACATGGCTGATGAATGCACCGATGCAAATGGGCATCAAGTATTAAGTCATTGTGTACGTTATCTTGATGTCAGGGGTAGGCCAGTAGATGCATTTCTAGATGTTCAAGTTATAGAAGACACATTGGCTGCATCTGTGACGACCCACATCTTAGAAGAGTTAAATGCTTGTCAATTGGACCCCAAACAGATGGCTGCCTGTGCATTTGATGGAGCTGCAAACTTCTCTGGAAGACATGGTGGATTACAAGCTTTGCTCAGAGAAAAGTGTAACCCTAATCTCTCCTATACACACTGCAGAGGCCATCTACTCCAACTAGTGCTAGTACGAGCTGCAGAATCTTCAAAAGACATTAAAAAAGCTATAAATTTAATGTCTTCATTATATTCTTTTTTCAGCTAGAGTCCAAAAAGACTGAATATCTTGGAAAATATAGAAGATACACTGGGACTGAAGTTCAAATTAGTCCAACCTGGGAAAACCCGCTGGCTTTCTCATGAGCGATCCTTGGCTGTTGTCTTAAAATTACTCCAGCCGTTATTACTGGCTTTGGAAAGTATCTACCAAGATGGGATGGATCTAAGTAGTGAGGCTGGTGGATTACTTTTGCTACTATGTTCAGAGAAGACTATTGCCATTCTCTCTCTTGTAAGTCTACTGTTGAAACCACTTGGGTCATTAAACAGCATCTGCTATAACAGTAGTAGATCTTTGTCCAGCAATAGAAGCTACATTTGGATCAATCCAAGATCTATCCATTGAAAAAGTACTGGAAGAAGCAAAGACTTCAGTCCACAAGTTGACTAATGAAAGCATTTATATTGAATCCTTAAGTGAATAAGACAAGAAGTGTTTGTTAAGACAACTGAAAAAGTACACAGACTTGATTCTTTAAAATCTACAACAGCGACTTCTAGATTCTACTCAACCTCTACGTAGCTTTTACAGATGCCTGTCCTATAAAACACCAACAGTTGAGTGGAGTGAGGCACTACCAGCAATGGGGCTGCCATGTGCTCAGGACAGAATAGAGAATTTGAACACAGAGTGGAATATCATACGACGAATGAATGAAGATTTGACTTCAACTTCTTTTTTATAATTACTAGTGGCTCGACCCAATCTTTGTGTTCTGTTTCCTGAGATGAAAGCAGTAGGAATTCATCTCTTGCTACTTCCAGTCACAACAGCTACCGTTGAGTGTTCTTTTTCATCATTGAATAGAATTTTGTGTTCTGAAAAGTCGCCTTCTGCCTGATCATGTGAATGAACTAATGAGCATATCAACTGAAAGAATGGAAGTACCGGACACATGAGAAGCCACCAAAGATGAATGCATTGCATTCAAGAAGTTCATTAACAGAGTTGTGCAAAATTATAACAAGAAACCAAGAAGGATGTAGACGTAGTGCTTCATAGAAGGCTTGAGTAGCCAACTTTAATTTGTGTGAGGATTTTAAAAGATGAGTTAAATCTAATAAAATGGTCATGAAACATTTTTCAGTTTTTACTATGGTGCCATACAGCCCACCTTCACCCTCACAGTCTCACCCCTCATCGGCCCTGACCCCCCCCCCCGTAAATTTGAACACCCCCCCTCCCCAATTTCAATTTCTGGGGAAGCCACTGGATTCTGCCATGGACACCAGCAGCTCTAGGGAGGGACCCGCCTCACTCAGGGGCTCCCCCGGGTGCAGACCTTCAGCTGGGGCACGGATTAGATACCCCGCAGCTTTTCTTCTGCTCTTTAACGGGGGAGGGGAACATGGGGACCAAATTCTTAACGCGGCCCCTTGACTGCACTGAGGCGATTGCAGGAGCGCTGGCGCCTGTCCCATCCTGTGCTGGGGGCTGGGTGCTACCGCGGGACACCTGCCCTGCTGGGGCTGGGCCCTTTATTTTCATTGGTGCCATTACCCAGGTGTGTGTGTCTCCGGGGAAGGAGTGCTGTGACTTGTGTGCTGTGCTGGCAGCTGGGTGGCAGGAGAAGGAGCAGGCACTTGCTAAGGAGTAGAAAAAGAGGAACTTTTTTCCCTTCCACGCGACACGGGACTGAGGGGAGATCTGGCTTTAGGGATGGTTTCCTGCAGCTCCGTTAGACCTTTACACATGGATTCTGCCTTTATTAGAGGAAAGGGCCAAGGGATGCAAGATGTTTTGGGGGTTGATTTAAAGGGGCAGTAGGTGGATGTGATGGGCCATGTTTCTGTGTCAGGGACTCCATAAAATATTTAAACAAATTAAAGCAAAGCTGGGCCCAGTCAGGGAAGTCATTCTCACGAGCCAAACTGAGAAAAGAGTCTGTCTGAGACCCATTAATATGGGGGACTTGTTTAGTCCCCTCTGAGCTGCTCCCTCCCACTTTCCTGTTTCTGGCCTGGCTTAATGCTCTGGCTGGGGTCTCCAATAGCTGTTCTGTGTAACCTGTAAGATCAATATTTCCCGTTTTCCTTTTGTGCATTTTTTGGCTGACAGTCCTTTGTCTTGCAGCTTAAACAAGATGAAACGGAGCTCATCTTCCAGTGGTAGCAATGGCCGGGCCTCCCTGCTGCCCATTAGAGTTCAGGACGCAAGCAGAGCCGGTCTATATACACCTCAAACAACGTATGTGCTGCTGATCTCTAAGCACGTTTATCCTGATGTAACTGAGAGGAGGAGGGTTGTGGTTATTTGTTGTGGCCTTGGTGTGAAGAGATTCACTGTTATGATAAATGGCACCTGGATGTCTAGTTCACATCTAACCACATCTCTGAGTGACCTAGTGCAGGAGTTCTCAAACTGGGGGTCGGGACCCTCAGAGGGTTGCAAGGTTATTACCTGGGGGGTCATGAGCTGTCAGCCTCCACCGCAAACCCTGCTTTGCCCCCAGCATTTATAATGGTGTTAAATATATAAAAAATGTGTTTTTAATTTATAAGGGGGGGTCGCACTCAGAGGCTTGCTATGTGAAAGGGGTCAGCAGTACAAAAGTTTGAGAACCCCTGACCTAGTGATATTGATGTAAATTTATGGTGTAGACCTGGCCTAAGGCTAACATCATTTCAGATAGGTGGCATTGGTAGTACTGTAAATTTCACTTGTGTAGGCAGGTTCATGGAAACAAGAACACCACAGGTACTTGACTTAACAGAACACTGTCCATTTAAAAATAATGCATTATAAACTAATTTTACTATCCACTCCACATTAGAATTTTCAATATGAAAGATGTTTTAAGTCCTTTAAAGGGACAATGTCTTGAAATTTAGTAAATTGTCAATTAAAATGAGTTAAAATAACTATTATGATACCTGCCATCTAATCTATCCACTTGCTTATTTTGTGGGGCAGGGGGAGTTTTGTCACACTTTTGTGGATAAATCTCATATGACTTTACATTGTGCTTCTTCATATAACCTTGTAGTGGGTCTACCCACGTGTGACCTCTGTTTTCATGAAAACTTTGTATCAAAGCCTCATGTAGAAACTTTGCATTGAACCTTGGTATAATGTTATAGCCCCTAAGGATAGAATAAGGGCAGGTCTTCACTACGGGGGGGGAGGGGGTCGAGCCGACTTACCCCGCTGTGAGGACGGCGGCAAAATCGACCTCTGCGGCTCCCAGTCGACGGCGCTTACTCCCACCTCCGCTGGTGGAGTAAGAGCGTCGATTCGGGGATCGATTGTCGCGTCCCGACGAGACGCGATAATTTGATCTCCGAGAGATCGATTTCTACCCGCCGATTCAGGCGGGTAGTGTAGACCTAGCCTCAGATAGAAGAAAAATGTCTCATTGCTAGCAGTACAACAAGATCTCTCCCCCCCCCCCCCCCTCTTAATCAATTGCCCTGTTGAATGAACGAGGTGTGAATGAGTAAAGGCTTGGAAGGCAGCACCTCCAGACAGCTGCAACCCTTGGAGAGGGGATGGAAGCCAGACCCAAAGACAATAAAACGTGTCAAGTGGGCTCATTAAAGAAGAGCAGACATACTGACGGCCTCGGGGGTTAGAAGCAAGCACCTTCTTTTGGAAACACCCTCTTTGAACAGCATTGGGACAACAACCAGAAGGAAGCAGTACAAAGGACCAATGGACACAGACACAGATTTTGAATCTGGTACAGATTTGCATACGGGGGAAGCTGCTATAAATGTGAGGTGTCTTGCAGAGGACCCTGGGTCTCGTCTTGTCAACATGGGAGCATCGATCCAGATCAGCAGAAGCCCGGCTCCATCCCCTCCCCCATCTAACTCACCTGGCCAGTGAAGTTAAGGGGAGCAACTAATTGGTAACAACAAGAAGACTGAGTGTGTTTGTTTGTGTGTATGTGAGTGCATGAGTGTAATATAGATCATATGCATATGACACAGTGTTAATTAATACATGTATTACTAATAAATGTGGCATTTTGCCTTATTCCCCCTGAAAAGATCCTGTGCAGTACTTTAAGTACAACACTTTTTTTATTTTTCAGTGTTTTTTCTTTCCATTGGTGCTATGTAAAAGACCCACACAAAGTGAGAGAACTGACTTCACTGGGGAAGTGGTGAAGTTGTGCTTTTGATAGCACTGTGTGTGTAATCAAATTTAAAAAAAAATATCCAGAAATGTAATTAAAATAGATTTCTAATAATCTTGGGTCGTGTAACAATAGTTGTGAAATCACTAGCAGCACCATAATAACTCTTTAAATTACAGTTTAACTTTGTTATCTTTTCTATAGAGAACGATCGAAGCTGAGCATATCTAAGTACACTGGTGGCTCTGAAGGAAAAACCAGCTTCTCTGTGAAAAGGTGCTGTTACAATGCCGCCTGACTTGTCTTAGTCCAATATTTTCTATATAAAATGGTGAATAATTAAAACTCTAGGATTTAAAAGTGGCTTGCAAAGGGGGCAGGAGGGAAATGGGAGAGGGGCCTGTTTTGATGTATAAAGATCTAAAAGATTTGTTTTGTTTTTTTTCCCCCTCAAAGGCTTTTTTCCTGCTTGATTTTTTTTCATTCATTAGATTACAGAGTAGGCACATAGGAATTGTGCACAAATGGTATGTTAATGAGAATCATGTAAGTGCATAGGAAGATTGCTATCCTGTATGAGATCACTCGTAGCAGGTCTGAGATGCTTCAGAGGAATATGTATGAATCCCTGTAATGGACAGTTGTGGAATAACCTGCCTGTGGGGCAATTTTTTTTCTTAGCTCCCTTCATTGGATGTTTGGTTTATGCTTTGAAGCATGAGAATTTTATGGTTCTTGTACACTTTGGATATCCTATCCAATGTGGTTCTGGGTGTTCTGTAAATGCTAAAAGCACACAGCATGTGATCCAAAGCAGTTTAAACTTCTCTGTTTGGTTTCAGGACAAGTGGTTCTGGAGCATCGCGAAATACTCCATGGGGCTTTTTTACTGGCACAGAAAAGTTAAAGGATCCCAGGCCACTTCATGATAAGACTTACATCCAGCAGTGCATCCGACAGCTCTGCGAGGTATACCTGGGTTCCCACCCACTGTGCCATCAATGTCTGCTGCATCTGCTCATAACGATGTTGTATTCTAATTGCAAACGTGGGATGCTGTCTTCTTTGGCAATAGATTAGTTGGTTCTGTTACAGAATTAGGATTGTACATGTGATACACAGAAGATAAAACTGGGATAGCTTGTGATTGGGTGGAGAAACCATGTGATAAACAGGTTTCAGATTGGGGAGGAAAGTGGTGGTGCTCTAATCAGGTTATGCCCGCAATCCCAAATTAGCTGAGTGTTTCTGCTAAAATGCACAGTTGATATTAAAATTGCCCTATTTAGACTTCAGAATTAACACTGTGTAGAGATGAATAGGGCCAGTTTGCATCTCTCTCCTACAGCTTAATAAAGCAGCTGGGATTGGGTCACATTTGGAAGATTAACATCTAGAAGGGCAAGAATAATGCCATTTGATTTAGTGTTTGTTTTTAACTGAAAATTTAGATATTGCACATACTGTTGAGCCATCAGAAGTGCTGGCACAAGGAACATCTGTTCAATCAGTCACTTTTTCAGTAAGTTGTTTACCTTCTGAGGACAACAATGCTACAATTATCATTGTTGTAGACTTAACAGAGAGCATATACAAATCTCAGTTTATTACTGACTCATCAGACATGAATATATTTTTTTCTGAGCCTCTATCTCCCCCTCTGAATGTTAGATTCTTCCAGAAATGTGTGGCTGTTATGAGGGAGAGTTCTTTGTTTTAAATTGAAAATACCCATTCAGAATGTATTGATCAGTATACGTAAATTGACTTCTATTAGAAGCAATGAAAATTTAATGTTCCTCAAGATAAATGCTGACATTGTCCTCACCTTGGTAAATATCTGATTAGGGGTCTGTATTAATCTTTGTGTCTGTTGCCTTTCTTAGTTTCTTGTGGAGAATGGCTATGCCCAGAATGTGTCTGTGAAATCTCTCCAAACTCCAACTACTAAGGACTTTTTCAGGATTTTTGCTTTTATATATGCTTTTTTGTGCCCTTCTTATGAACTTCCTGATTCTAAAATTGAAGAGGAGGTCCCAAAAGTCTTTAAAGAACTTGGGTATGTATCAGGGCTGATCAGAGATTGTATAAAGTGGGCACCCTAATGTTCAAAGGGACAGAGTCAAGATAAAGTTCCGGATAAAAAAAATTCGGAGACCAACATAAAATTGATAACTTTATCTTTTTCTGAAGGTCCCCACTGCTGAATCCACGCTCTGTTGTGTGAACAAGTCAGTGGTTCTCGTGTCAGGCCCTGCAATGGGATCCAGGTGCCCTGTTGGTATACAAGGTGCCAATTCCTTTCAGTGAAGGCATTGCCACCAGGTCACTGCAGCTCTCAGACTCCATGACTGTCTGACTCCACTCAGCCTCTGGTTGTTTTTTACTTTGTGTTCCCTTAGGGGTATCCTGCTGTCCTCTAGTGTTTCAACCTCAACATTTTCCTCCCCCTTTAAGCGTTTGAATTGGCTCCATTTGCCAGTGTAGGTTCTAGCTACTGCTAGGCTGCAGTGTTCAAGAGACACTGGAAAATGCTTGAAGCTGGTACAAGGGCATCTTCAGGATAAATATCATAGCTTAAAACATTTGTTTCCCTGCATGACTTCAGAGTTACAGATTCACAGTTTTTAAGGCCAGAAAAGACCATTAGATCATCTAGCCCAACCTCCAGGGGAATATAGGTGATAGAATTTCACCCAGCTACTCCTGTATTGAGCTCAATAATTTGTTGGACTAAAGCATATCTTTATTACTAGTAATGCCAAAACTATGAAAGCCGAAATAACTTACTTTCAGCACTTCTATTCTACCTTTTGCCCTTACTTTATCATAGACAGTGAAACTAGATGGCTCTATTTTACTTTCTGGTTCCCATGCACTAGAGTAATGCTGTGATGTTTGGCTTTCTGATATTGCAGGGAAATATTTTGAGCAGTAGATTTGCTTTTTCACACAATCAGTGCCTTGCATATGAACTACTTGAGTTTCTCTTTTCAATGTGCTTATGCCTGACTAATCCCACTGTGGATTTCTTCCGGAATTGGTGAAATCCATGTTAAATGACACAATGGGTTTTGTCATTTCTCAGTGATTCCAGATAAGTTGTACTTGTGATGGGTTTCCCCCTCTTCCCTTCCCCCCACACGAGTGCCACTTGGAACTGGGGTACTCCTGAGCCTGCCTAACCGGCCAGCCTGGGCTCCCTTTCACACTGTGGTGCTATAAATTGCCAAGCTCTCCAAGCTTGCTCTGTCACCAGCATACACAGATAGGGGCACACCCAGCTGCAGCTTCACACACACACACGCTGAGATCAGCTCTGCATGGGAAGGCTCAGCTAAGGCACCTCCCAGTTGCTAAGGCACGTACCCTCCTCTAGAGTGTAAACCCAAAATTATACCATCTTGTGCTGCACAGGGAACTGTACAGCGTAAGCTCATAAAATTCACTCCTCTCTCAATGTGGAGAGAGAGATGCAACAACTTTCTGCCCCAAGTAATAATTTCCACACACTGGCTTTAGATAAAACACAGACCAAGTTTATTAAATACAAAAGATAGATTATAAGAGAGAGCAAATAGATCAAAGCAGATTACCTTAGTAAATAAACAAAAACCGCAAACGGAGCTTAACACACCTATGGATTGGCGGGTAGTGATCGAGCTATCGGGGATCGATTTATCGTGTCTAGTGTAGACGCAATGTTGCGTCTAGTGTAGACACAATAAATCGATCCCCGATTGCTCTGCCGTCAACTCCTGTACTCCACCGCGGTGAGAGGCGGAAGCGGAGTCGACGGGGGAGCAGCGGCAGTCAACCCCGCGCCATGAGGTAAGTCAACCTAAGATACGTCGACTTCAGCTACGCTGTTCTCGTAGCTGAAGTTGCGTATCTTAGGTCGATTTCTCCCCCCAGTGTAGACCAGGCCTAGATAAGTAATATATGAATTAGCAAATTCTCATCCTGAGCAATAAACAGGCTGGCAGATTCTTAAGGCACAAGCTGCCTTGGCTTTCCCAGGTTTTCATACACAGGCTAAAAATCCTTCTAGCCTGGGACCATCACTTCCCACAATTTAGTCCTTGCCCCTCAGGTGTTTCCAGGTGTGCTGTTGTAGGGAGAGTGAGGTACCATCATGATGTCATTTTCCGCCTTTGTATATCTTCCTCCCACTTGCTGGAAAGCTCTTTTGCTGTGACCTGGGTCAAACATTTCCCATTGTGTAGTGCTCTCTCTCAGAGGTTTCTATTGTACACAGTTCCTGGGGTAATCATTGTGCTTGTGTGCATTTTCTTAATAAGCCATTAACGTTGTTTGGCCTTTTTACTGTTGTACCTGAAAGGCTGCTTGTAGGTGTTTTCAACCTCACAACATGTTTCAGTAACACATACATAGCCAAATTTCATAACTTCACATACGACGATAGCAGATACAATCCAACGAGATATTACTGTCTAGCAGATCAAGACTTTTAGAATGATATCTCAAAGGCGTACTTTGTACAAAACATATCCTAATTACATGACAGTGGTGAATATTGGGGTGCCAGAGTGTGTCAGTACTCTATTTGCAACTCAAGAGTATTTTTCTAATTGTCAGTGCCACAAACTCCACCTGGTATCCAAAACCGAGTTGCGCTTTTTTTTTTTTAAACTTCTTTACAAGTGGCAAAGATACTGCAATTTGACCTTAGCTGACAGATTTTGTTGATGCACATAAAAGGAATATGATCAGTTCATGATCTGTAGTGTTAAAAATAGTCAACGTTCATCAGTAAAACAGGCAGAAGTCCGCGTGTGTCCAATAAATCAAATCTATTTGGCAGGGAGATGTCTTTTAATTCTCTGCTGATTATAATCATGCTCAGGTAATTAGAAACTGCTCTAACTCTTCTTTCCTTGTAGATATCCCTTCCCATTGCCCAAAAGCTCCATGTACACCGTGGGTGTGCCACATGTCTGGCCTCAGGTTGCCGCTGCACTAGTGTGGTTAATAGACTGCATCAAGGTATGGTGAGAAAGGGAGGTCAGCTGTGATCCAGTGGATCTGAGCTGAGCAGGGACATATGGGTTCTGTTCCAGGCTCTGCCATTGACTTTGGGCTAGTTAAGGCCAGAGTTTCAAAAGTATTTAGGTGCCTGAAGATGGAGAAAGCCACCTAATAGTGGGATTTTCAAAGAGCACCTAAGCAAGGTGGGCACCTAAATCCCATTGAAATTGATGGGTTTTACGTACCTAACATGTATATGATTCTAGTGGGATTTTCAAAAGTGCCTATCTGCCTCTTTAGGTGCCTAAATGCCTTTAAAAATCTGGCACCTAATCCTATGCCCCAGTTTTCCCTTTTGTAAAACTGGAACAGTAATATTTCCCTACTGCACAGGTATGTTGTCAGTATACATTCATTATCTTCTTTGAAGTGGTTTGAAATCCTCAAAGGGAAGATGCTAGAGAAATGAAAAGTAGTAACTATTACAAATAACAATACCCATGGTGGGTGAGTATGTGCGTGTAAGAGGAAAGAATAAACAAGAGAAAACAGGTCTACATTAGATTCTGATAGAAATGAACTGAAGTTTTTAATCTATAATGCTCCAAGATCCAGAATTATCTTCATGCAGCCTTAGGGCCCTACAGCAATATCTTAGATTCAGAAGCTGTCTGGCTTTTTGACTGCAGATATAAGCAGACAAGGCTGCTGAGGTAATGTCTCTGCATCTGTTGGAGGAAAAGTGGCTTTTTCTATAGTAACTGCCTCTTACCTTAGCCATAGTCAATCAACTTCTTTCTGTCTTCCTCTAGAAAATTCCTTTTTATTGGCAATCTTTACATGTGGTGGTACCCAGCTGGGCACATGTCGCGGGGAAGGGGGGGAGAACAGGGGATGGACAGTAACCCATCTCTTGTACAAAATCTTGCAGTGTGGTGATTGCTATCTTACTCATACGACTTCCTGGTGTTTTTTAGGTACACCTGCCCTGTTGACATTGTGTCAAGCTGCAGTGCTTTAAGCTTATCCTGAAAATATGTTTTCTCTTTCCTCCCTTTGAGACCCTCCCATGATTTTCATAGTGTTTCCTCAGAATCTGCTATTCCATTCTTTAATTGTCTCTTTGAAATGTATTGCCATTAACAGATTGAAGAGAATGGGTTATGATCCCTGCAGTATGAATCTTTTTTTGACCACATCAGTTACGTTAATTCTGATATATGTGTCAGTTATCGAGGTGGTGTGCAGGGACTTGTTTTTCACTGTAAAAGTCACAGATAAAATATACTGACACTTAGTGAAGAGAACTCTTCCCCCTTGACAATTTAACAGGCTGCTCTGAGCAGAACGTTGTACCACTCCCATTAATCCTGGGTATGTATCCATTCTTTCCATCGTTCCTACCACCACTGTGTCACAGCCAACCATCTACTAACACAGATTCCAGTGCTCCATCAACAGATGTAACACTATTCTGTGAAGTCAGGGGCTTACCTGGACCAAGTTACTGTGTTAACAGAGCAATGTTTCCCGTGTAATTTTGCCGAAGGAGATTTTTTTACTCCTGGGGGAATTCTGCAACAAAAAATTAAAAAATCTGTGCACAATGTTTTAAAATAAATAACAATATAATCACACCACTTTCAATTATTTTTGGTCATTTATTTCAAAATACCTGTCAGCAAGTATGTGTGTAACAATAAGGACAACAAAAAAGATTCAGGAAATGTTTTTTGAGAAATAGATTCCTTACTTGACATATTAATACAGAACTGAGTAAGAATTCATTTAAACTACAATACAGAACTGTATTTCATGTACCCCTCAGAAGCAGTGCAAAGGCTTGGAGGAGTCAGGGGTAATGGAAGAGCTGAGGGAGAGGGAAGTAATTGCTGGGAAGGAGCCTATGTGTGAACTTGGAGGGTGGGAAAAGTGTGGAACAGGGTGGTTTCTTTGGGGGGGGGGCAGGGTTTGTTAGGGAGCATCTCCCTGCAGCCCCTGGCTGACCACTAGCCTCTCCCATTCAGTCAGGCACATCTGCCCCTGTCCCCATATGTTCCTGAACCCCCATGTGTCCTTGCACCCCCTGTCCACATGTCCCTCCACCCCCACTCAGACACCCACTCCCCCATCCCTATGTTGCTCTGTACCCACTCCCCCTGTGCCTATGTGGCCCTGAACCTCCTCCCTGTCCCCATGTCCCTCTGTGCCCCCACCCAGCCACTCCCCTGTCCCTGTGTGTCCCTGTCCCCAAGTCTCTCTGTGCCCCCACCCAGCATTCCCCCTGCTCCTATGTAGCTCAGCACCCCCTCCCCCATCACCATTTGGCCCTACACCTCCCTCCCTGACTAGTCCTTATGAACCCCTGTTTGACACTCCCCTCCCCCCCAGCACCCCATGCTGTCTGTCTCTCCATAGCCCCTGTCTCCTGACCTGGCCTAACAGGCGCTACAAAGAAGGCAGGCTTTTTCTCTTCCCTTGCTGGCTGGGAGCTGCTGCTGTTCTTGTGCCACAGCACCCTTTGGTGGGGAAAAAGGCAGAACTGCAGCAACATTTCAGCTGAAGCTTTTTTCTGCACAAAAAAATTAAAAATATGCATGGCTCATTAATTATGCATGCGTACAGTAGCGCAGAATTCTCCCAGGAGTAGACTTTGGCCTAGAATCATCGAGATTCCTTTTTTCAGCATTTTGCTGTAGTACCAGCGGTTTAGCTTATTGTTTAGAGCTAAAAGGAGGCTTCCACACCAAAGAAACGGAGCTCCAAGAGTGTGCAACCCACCCCGATGGGGCTAGTTCTGCCTCCTTAAATTGTTTTCTTAATACAAATATGACTCTGATATGGAGGCTAGTGAGGGGTGATATCGAATAAGAATCTCCAGTGAACACCGTACACTTCTAATTTGTGAGATTTACACTCTGTCCCTTTTTAGATCTACAGTGTCATGAGAGGGAACTCAGATGCTCTTGTCGATGCTCAGTGCTGGTCAGGAGAGGCTGAAGATGAAATGGTAGTTAATAAGGTATCATACTATATTAATTGTTCGTCAGACAATGTTCACGACACTGTCAGGAAAAGTAGCAAATGCAGTAAATGTACTCCCATTTTGTATGGGGTTTTTAATTTGGATTTTAATCAACCTTTTTTCCGTTCATACTCAAATGTGTATTGTTTTCAGTGCTCTTCCAAAAGAGTTGGACAGAATGTAAATGTAAGAACTGTTGTTAAAATAATAATTAAAAAAACACACTGCTTTCTATAACGAGTTAAATACCTACAGTTTACAACTGGAGTGGGATTTAGCTGGCCATGGGATTAATTACAGAAAGGAAGGGAGAAAAGGACAGCCTTGTTTTCTAGCATGCTTTGGGAGGCAATTTCATCTGGTGGATAATGCATGGGATGGGGAGGAGGGATGGTGGTCAGAGTGGACTCAATTCTTGACTCTGCTACTGACTTACTATGTGACTGTGGGCAATTTATTTTAGCTTTGTTTTCTCCTGTGTAAAATGAGCATGACACTGGTCTACCCCTGTAAAATACATTGATGTATGGATGAGAAGTGTTCTCTCTTAAAAAGGCAAATCATTTTAGACAGATGTGTTTGTACTTTATCATCATTTGTACTTTTATAATACAGTGCTGAAGGAGAGGAATAGATCTGCCATCCTTTGATTTCTGCGCGTCCCCTCCTCTCCCCCCGCCGTTTCTCCCTGCCAAGTGGCTGATAGCTTGGACCATTGCCTGAAGCCACCTCTTTTTCCTAACACTGTCAGCACATACTGCTCTTCCCACAGAAGCAGTGGGAGTAGATGAAGGGAACATACTGCTTATGCCACTGGGCTGAAGTGGCAAGGGGAAGTGGCCAGTTCCTGGTAGGGGTCCCACTTTGGGACCACACATGCAAGTCAAAGGCTTTTTCCCTGTACCCCAGTGGCCAGTTGCTTGGCTTCTCAAAAATAGGAGCAGCTATTTTCAAAGCTTGCAGCCCAGAAGACAGCAGTTGTTTAACTGCTCCTCTCTGCTCACCCGTAAATCACATGGCAAGTTATGGATTTGGGAGTACCTTTCCCACCTCAAATAAAAATCAGCTTCTTGGTCTGTGCGGTCTGTCTGATTTCTTTTTGGTGGGGGCCAGAAGGGGATTTTCACATACCTGTGTCAGTTTCCTACCTTGGCACCTGGCATGCTGCCCATGGAGTTCTGGTTAGCTCTGGGCCTGACGTCAGGCCTAGAGAAACCCGCCTGCAATGAGCAAGTGGACACCCAGGCCAGGAAACAAAAAGATCCCGAAGTGGAAGCTGCGTTTTAAAAGCAACAAAAATAACCCAATCTTCTAACTGGGGATTTGCCCTAAAGCACCTTCTTAGATTTAAAAGGGTGGTTTGTCATTACATTCAAGCTTTAAAATAGAACTTGTGACCTTGTATGTCCATTTGAATAATATTTAAGGTGTTGGTTTGCCATGTGGCTTTGTATGTCAAGCTTGCTTAATGTGTTTTTAAAAAGCTCTAAAAACCACGTTGTTTGTTTTCAGCTACTTATGGAGTACACTGAGAAGTGTTATGATCATTTCATGAATGGAGGAGATGCTTTTGAAGAGATGGATGCAGAACTAAAGGCAAAACTAAGTAAGTGTGGCCATCTGAATTAGCTATTACAAGAAACCACATTCAGGCTAGTAGAATTCTGGGCCTTGCCACACTTATTGCCTTCCTTACAGGGGTTATTTATAGTAAGGCCAATATCAGCATTTTTCAAATGATGGTGCCTACCTATGGCTTGAGTGCCTAGAGTTAAGCACCCACATTCATATTTAGATATCTTATTTAGGAAAATGCTGATGTTTAAAAGTGCAGGTCTAAGTGTCTTCACTATGGCCATGATTTTCAGAAGTGCAAAGTGACTTGGTGCCTTAATTTGTGGTTGCCCAACTGGAGGTGCCTTAAAGGGGCCTGACTTTCAGAGGGTGGGTGCTCAGCACTTTCTGTAAACCAAGCTCCTTTATAGCCTCTCAAGTTGGGCACTCAAAATCACTGGTCACTTTTGGCGTATATGTCCTAAGCTCACCATCTGTTGATTAAAAACAGCTGGTTTGATATTGGGTCAGGAATCCACACCCTCTCCTAGAGCTAGCAGCTGCTCATCTGCCTGTTCATAGGATATTGTAAGGCGCTCCTTCTTAAGAGTGAATCTTTTTTTGGTGTGGTTTCTCTTTGCAAATCACTTTGAATAGTGGAAACTGACTTCCATTTTCCTCTTCAGACTTTCGTTCCCAAGACAGGGCTTCTCTTGTTGGCAATGTCATCTCTTGTTATTGCATACCATCTGCCTGTAAACATTTCTAAAGTGCCTGGCAGTGGTGCTCAAACTGTGGGTCAGGACCCTAAAGTGGGTCACGACCCCATTTTAATGGGGTTGCCAAGGCCAGCGTTAGATTCACTGGGGCCCAGGGCCGAAGCCCGAAGGCTTGAGTCTGGTGTAGCAGGGATCTGGCCCCCTCCTCTTCCCCCTGCCTGAGGCTGCAGGGCTTGGGCTCCAGTTATGTAGTAACTTTTGTTGTCAGAAGGGGGCAGTGGTGCAATGAAGCTTGAGAACTGCTGCACTACAGTATTGTGGCACTGTTGTCTGGTATGACTATCGAGGCTCTAGGGTTATTCAAACCCCATGTGGTTTCTTGCAGATGAAGTGTTTAAAGTAGACCATTCCAAAGTGAAGACCTTAGAAGCAGAGAACAAAAGGTTGAATGAAGAGATTGCAAGTCTAGAGAGAGAGAGGGAAAGTGAGCCGGTTAGTAAACCATCTTTCTACTTCTTTCAACTATATCAAAGCTAGATCTTCCCTTATTGGGGTTCCAGGTACTGTAATCTCACCAGTAACATGTACATACTGAGCAAGTGGCAGGGGCAGCTGAATCAGGGGCACCTGAAATTCTGCTTCCTGAAGTGATAGGAAGGGGCTGAGGTGCTACAAAGGAAACTATCTCCAGAACTATAGGTATCACCTGGGCCACTCTCAACTCCTGGCCCCAGCTGGTGGAAGAGTCAAGTCAGTGTCTCAGACTCTCATAGTAGAATCCTGCTTTAGTTTATTAAAAAAAAACCCAGATATGAAATTAATGCAAGAAAAATATGAGTTGAGGCTTCTCTCTGTCCTTACAGAGCTGTGACTTATTACTGCAGTGCATCTGGTACACGAGACTCAAGCATTATTAGACTCCTGTGATGCATGACAGCCTCACCTCTGATCTTGTTTCCTCCTGTAGCTTGTAATTTCTTAATGTTTCAATTTAGCTGGTGTTCTAATGATAGAATTTAAAATTCTATCATCAGGCTGGGAATAACGATATCTTGTAGTCTGAGACTGAAAATTTGACCCAAATAAGATAAAGGAGGGAAGAGGCTTTCGGGGTAGGGATTGTACAGGGATCGACAGAGTGGCAGGGTTCACCACCATTTAGGCTTGTGAGGAAAATTATCTGCCTTGGTAACAGCTGATTCAAGAAAGGGTTCAACTGAAAATCGATCATTGAGCTGCTGTTGTTTCCGGTAACCACTGTAAAGGTTATTATACCAGTTAGGTTATTAATACTCTTCTTTCTCCTCAAAGGATCGTCTAGAAACGCTGAGGAAGCTGAAAGCTTCGCTGCAAGCTGATGTTGAAAAATATCAGGCTTACATGACTAATCTGGAATCTCATTCAGCTGTCCTGGATCAGAAACTACGTAGCCTCACTGAGGCGTGTGAGGCATCAGGTGAGAAGGAAGCTGCCTCAGAGATAGCTGATGATGATGATGTATCATCACTTCTTTTGTTGGCTAGTACTGCAGATTGAAGGCTCTGAAACAGACATACACTTGCTCCATGGATGGGTTTGTACTAAAGCGGATTTTACTTGGCTAGTAATCTTGTTGTACTTTCTGGGAAAAAGAGTGGGGCAGTACATACAGGGATAAGTGCTTCCTGGACCAGAAAGTGCTGGATGCATCTTTAAAAGACACGGCCTTGATTTCTAGGGGGAGAAGAATTGTCTTTTGAGGCAGAAACATGTAAGTTGTCCGGCTGTCGAGTGTGGGAGATGACGAGGTTCGGGGGTAGACTCTGCCCTCTTGGACCAGCTTCCTTACAGTTGGTCTCCTTTTCCCATAGCTCAGTGAGGGAAGGAAGCAGAGACTGATCTCACACCAAAGCTTTCTTGCCTCAAATTAAAGGAAAATCCCTCAGCCCTAAATAGTGAAATCACAACCTGCCTAAGTTGAAATCCTTCCATTTAAACAACAGTAGATCTGAGTCGATCTCCCTGACCTAGAACAAAGCGGCAGCACTGGGGGAGAAGGGACATAGCCCTCTGAAATGTGCATGTAGAGCCTGAGGAGATCCCACTTTAACCTACCTCACAAAAGTGCTGTGAGGCTTAAGTTTGTAGAGCACTTTAAAGATGGAGAGTGCCATTCATGGAAGCAGTACACGTCTGTATTACTGCTAGGAGTACACCTGACTGATGAATGGGATGTTTATACTGGAAAAGCAGGGGTGGCGACACTGTGACCCTTAGTAAATGTCCAGAGATCTGTAGCTCCTCTTTTTTGTTGTTGTTGATTGCAGAATTGGAAGTTGAAATGATGAAGCAGGAAAATGCCCGGCTGCAGCACACTGTTGATAATCAGCTTTACACAGCTGTAGACATCGAGAGAATAAACCATGAGAAAGATGTGCTTCAGCAAACTATCAACAAGCTTACCAAGGAGCTAGACACGGAGCGGCAGCAGCTGTGGGCTGAGGAGCTAAAATATGCAAGAGGCAAAGAGTCAGTGAGTGCCTGTCCCAGTTCCTGCCAATGGTTTCAATCTGGCAACTTTGCAGCTTGGATATTAAGGGTCAAAATACAAAAGAGAAAAAGTTGGGAATTTAAGAGGTTGCTGTGAATTATTTTTCTAATGACACTAAACTAGGCCAAGATGAGTGACTCTAACAGCTTAAAAATGATTTACAATTAACAAGCACAAATTTTTGCTCTTGCTTCCAGTAGGCCTGGAATTTGTTCTTGTACTTGTTTGTGCATCAGCAGCCAAGGCCTGATTCAATGCCCATTTTAATAATTGAGTATCCAGGCCCCGGGAGGCCACAACAGGCATGTGTATTGCATTCAACTGTAGTTGCAGAGACAGCTCAGGAGCTTGAAATAGTCTGAAGAGCCTGAACATCATTATCCCCATTTTACAGATGGCAAAACTGAGGCACACAGCAATTCCATTACCTGATCAAGACACAGTAATTTAGTGCAGAACTAGGAATTGAACCAAGGGGCCAGATCCTCAGCTGGCGTAAACTAGTGTAACTTCTTTTACTTCAATACAGCTATGCTGACTTACATCAGGTGGCTTAGTGACTGAGTCCCAGTCTGATGCCTTGTCCCATGGACCGTACAGACTCAACAGTCTTCTCCTCTTTCCCATGACCATTGCCACAGTGAGATGCCCCATTTAGAAGCAGGCCCTGGTGCTTCATAAAGTTTCCCAAGCTGTGTCAGTGACTAACACCACAGGCAAGAGAGGAAGGATGGCCCAGTTATGGTTAGGGTGCCAGCTTGAGAGTCAGGAGACATGGCTTCAGTTCCCAGGGTGTTGTGAGAATAAATGCATCAGAATGTGAGGCTCACCGACTGTGGTGATGGGGGCCATATAAGTACCTTTGACAGTCTTTGCATTTATAGGGCTGGGTCGCTCAACTGTATTCTTAGTTTATATATCACTTGTAAGACTCCTCCCAGCCAAAGAACTTAAATTTCTTTACACACGAGTCCAATTTTACAGATAGGCAATCTGAGACACGGGGCCGTGAAGTGTGTCTTGCCCGTGTTCACAAGGAAATCTGTGGCAGAGAACAGAGCCCAGAACTCTGCACTCCCATTCCCATGCTTTTGCCACAATACCATCTGTACTCCTTACAGGCAGCTTCCAAGGATGCAGACTAGCTAATCTTCCTTGAATATTCAAGGGATAGGTGGAGCAGGCATTTATCCAGGAGAGGAAAATACAGCTGCTCAGAAAGGAATGGACAGCTAAATACCACTCAAGTCTGTCTGTACAGGCCATTGAGCTTCAAATCACATCACCTCTCTGTGCCCTAGTTTTCCCATCTTTGAAATTGGGAGAATGATGCTGACCTTCCTTTGTAAAGTGCCTTGAGATTGATGGCCGAAAAGCTGCTCCGTAAATAGAAGAAATGGTCGTCTCACTCAAAGCTTCCAGTGCTGACTAATATTTTAAAGATTTTTTTTCTGAGGTCTCAAAATATCTGCATCTCTGAAGCCACCTGGCAGTGGCACCCTCTTAGAGGTGGCAACAATAGTGATCTATGTTTTGGCCTTTTCTATTCAGTGTCTTTCTCTCTTACTGTCCCTCTAACTCCACATATTTCCCAGATTGAAGCACAGCTGGATGATTATCACAAACTGGCTCGGAAGCTGAAGCTAATCCCAGCAGGCATGGAAAATTCCAGAGGCCACGATTTTGAGATTAAGTTTAACCCGGAGGATGGACCCCATTCTCTCTCCAAATACAGAAGGCAGATCAACGTAGGTGTGCTTTAACAACTGCTTTTGTTTGGAACACTTGAGTCCTGCAAACAGTGTATGTATTTCAGTGGTAAAATGTTAGGAAATACACAAGGAAGGTCGACCTTGAACATCCCTACTATAGCTGCAGTACAGTCTAGCCTGCGTGGGATGTTGCTAATAGAGCTGAACGAATAATCAATTTTTTTTTTTCCATTTTGTGTCTGAACGGAAACATCTGGGAAAAACTTGGGTGTCTTGAACAGAAACTGAATTTTGTTTTCTCAAAATGAAAAACTAAAAATACTTCGTTCAGGTTGAACTCAATATTTGAATGTCTAATCTAATCGATATTTCCAAAACGTTTTGTTTTCAGGTTGGTTTGTTTTTTAGTTGAATATATATATGCGAAGAAAAAGTTTCACCCATGACTCGTTGCTACAGAATGGAGGGCGGGGGGGGGCACATCAACAAGCCAGATGTCTTGAATCAAAGGGGGAGGGACAGACATAATTGTGTTACAAACAAAACTTACTCCGGGGGGAATTCTGCGCCAAAAAATTAAAAATTCTGCACATATTTTAAAATCCTGCATATTTTATTTGTCAAAATAACACAATATAGACCTCCTCTTCTTCCCCCTCTTCCCTCCCCCAATTTTTTATTTTTTTTAAATAAATAGATTTCTTACTAGGCATATTAATATGGAACTTTGAGTAATACATATTAATACAAATGTAATAAATTACATTTCTGTAATGTAATTTAAATGAATTTCCTGCACCTGTCAGAAGCAGTGCAAAGATTTCGGGGAGTCAGGGGTAACAGAGGAACTGAGGGAGAGGGAAGGAGCCTGGAGTATACCTGGAGTGTTGTTGAGTGTGGGTGAGAAGTATGGAACAGGTTTTTTTGGGGGGTAGGGAGGAGGGATTGTTAGGGAGATGGGGAACCTTCCCCCATGCAGACCCTGGCTGACCCCAAACCTCTCCCATTCAGTCAGGCATATCTGCCGCTGTCCCCACCCCCCATCCCCATGTGTCTCTGCCTCCCTCCCCACTCCCATTCAGCCCCTGGCTCAACGCTGTCAGCCTACTAGCTCCCCTGAGCCTGTGCCCCAGTCTGCCCCCCCACTAGCCATTCGGAACCCCAGTGTGAGACACCCGCCGCTCCCTTCCCCAGCAGCCCCATGTGCCCCACTCTTTCTGTCGTAACCTGGTGCCGCAGGCAGGGTGCTGTGATAAATTTCCAGTCCTGGGGGAATTCTGCGCCACTGCGCACATGCAGAATTCCCCCCGCCCCCCGACAGGGAAAAAATTCTGTGGCACCAGAATTGGTCAAAAGGCAGAACTGCAGCACTTCTCAGGCAGAA